GGTGGAGGATTTGACGGTGGAGGATTTGACGGTGGAGGATTTGACGGTGGAGGATTTGACGGTGGAGGATTTGACGGTGGAGGATTTGACGGTGGAGGATTTGACGGTGGAGGATTTGACGGTGGAGGATTTGACGGTGGAGGATTTGACGGTGGAGGATTTGACGGTGGAGGATTTGACGGTGGAGGATTTGACGGTGGAGGATTTGACGGCGGAGGATTTGACGGAGGACAACATCCATTGCCATCTGGACATGGAGCATAGGTTGGATCGCTGCAACAGCATCCATTACCATCTGGACATGGAACTTCGGTACTGTTATCGCAAGTAGGGGAAGTAGGAGGAGGAGGACAACATCCATTGCCATCTGGACAGGGAGCATAGGTTGGATCGCTGCAGCAACATCCATTGCCATCTGGACATGGAACTTCGGTGCTGCTATCGCAAGTAGGGGATGTAGGAGGAGGAGGGCAACATCCATAGCCATCTGCACACTGAACATAGGTTGGATCGATGCAGCAACATCCATTGCCATCTGGACATGGAACTTCGCCAATGTTAGTGCAAGTTGGGGGGGGAGGAGGAATGGGGCAACATCCATTGCCATCTGGACATGGAACTTCGGTACTGTTATTGCAAATAGGGGGAGGGCAACATTCATTGCCAAGTGGACACGGAACTTCGTTTGGACCGCAGCTAACGACGCTGCCGCCACCACCAGGAGCACAATAAAAATCAGGTGTGCAAACTTGGTCAAGGGGACAGCAACCATTACCACAGGGGTTATTTTGAATCTCTTGAGCCGTGCATGGAATGTTGCAGCCGTCAGATAAACATGTCACGTCTGGAGGACAACATCCATTGACATTTGGACATGGAACATATGTTGAATCGGCGCAGGCACTAGTGTTTGCCAATAGAGAAAATCCCTTATAATTTTCGTTAACGTTCGGAAAGTTCGTGACGGCATCTCTACTTGATAGCCGAGATGTTGCAGAAGCAAAAGTTACGGTAATAAATGCGAATATTAGCGCGAGATTCTTCATGTTAAAAGTTCTAGACTTGATACGAAATAATCGTGTCGGACGCATTATTTAAACATTTAGATCCCGCACACCATTCAACCGATATATACAGCGTTGTACGCTTTTTGTGATTACGCCCACCTTTTCTGGCGCCATATATATTGAAAAGGTCTTTGTGTCATAATTTAAACAATGCGGTGCTTAATATTATGATGAACCATAAAACTTAGGTGGACTAGTTGACAACGTTGTAAGAATAAAGACACAACTTGATAAAATTATAACAGACAACTTATTACTAACGGATGCGAATAAAACGATCGAGTTGTATCGATCGCGTAATGCTAATTGATCATCCGTATATCTGCGTTCTTTAGTAGTTATATGAACGAACATAGCTTGTTTATAGTCAAAAAACGTTTTATTACAATACGGCGTCTTTAATTTATGTCAACAAACAATATTATTAATGCCAAGATCTTTGATTCAGCAGAGATTTGAATGAAATCACAAAGACTTTTGTCTATCAAATAATATGGGGGTAATTAATTGTCGTCTATCTGTGAATTCCGCAAATATAATCTTAGAAGACGCGACAAATGCATACAATTACTTCGCTTTGTTCAATTGACGAACAGTTAAAGCAAAACAAAAAACGAGAAAAAAATAATAACCGGCATATGATTCTCTCGGGGTTGTTATGCGTTGATGAGGAAGAATAAAAAATCTGTGCTACCATGCCTGATAGATTATCGGGAATTCTTGGCACTGTATGAATTTTACTATTTTTGTATTGTCTAAGAATCAAATACTCGTTTTAACGTTAAACAGAGGTTAAAATAATTTCCGTAACAAAAGACTGGGTATTATAACCCCCACTAACCAATAAAAAGGATTTATTAAGGCAGTTTTGCGGAAGGTAATTAGAAATAAAGACTTGTATAGTGATACAGTTCGACGTTTATTTGGACGTTGTTTTGGATAGAACGAATTGAACTCTAGACGATTACCTTCGGGAAAGCATCTGATCAAGTTTTTCCTAAAAATTTCAATATTTATATCGTGCAACCATGCATTACTAAATTTTGGCGTAAAAAATCCTCATGTCGACTATAAATATAAACCCATTGCTCGTATTATAAAAAGCACTACTAATTCAAACATTATAATTGCACTAGAAGACTAGTACCTTTCATGAATAACGATAATTGTCTTACGCTAAAAACAATTATAAAAAAGAATAATCTATCTTCCATTGATAAAATTCAGAAAAATATTATTCGGAATACTCTTCAAGTGGGAATTTTGGATTGAATGATCAATAGATTATCGGAATTGTTTGTTACGTAATCAGGAGTGTTTGTTTTTCTTGCATACTATGTATTCTACTGTTTTGGAGTCGTTTCAGTATTAAACAAAAGTAGAAATAACATCTCACAGTAAATGGTTCAGAGCTTAATAATAAATATATAAGAACGACCCCCACCTTTAGGTCGATCTTTAACCATACATAGTGAATTTTTGGTCGTTCTATAACTATAAATAGTAAGATTAGCGTCCAAATAGAGATCAAAATCATCCATAAAGGGTCAAAGGTAGTACTGGAAAAGAAATTTAGCGTAACACATGTAAGGGGGTTCGATCTTATGTATTGTCGGCAAATTTGCCTACAATTTGGATTTGCCAACAAAATCGCTTTATATCGCCCGACGCAAAGTCACGTAATTGTAGTTACACGAGTCGGTCAATATAGTCGCCTGTCTGCAGATCTCTTACCGATCATTAACCCTAAATATTGATCAATCGCCGAGATAGTGCTAATGAACGTTATAATTCCCATGCGTTTAACGTTGTAAACTGTTAGTTAATTATCTGTTGTAGATATTCTTAGTAAAAAGAGTCTTATTGCACCAACTTTGAGTCATGTTAGGCTCGCAATATTATTTAGTTTGTAAGTCGTCATTATGAAAAAATATATTTCAGTGAGGAGGACATAATTGCTGAATATAAACCAGAGCAAGAAGAACGATAATAAAAGCACTGAAGACAAACAAAACGTTAAAAGTAATGTAAAAGCTCAAGAAATAGGTAGAGAGAAGGAAGTATGAGGGAAAGTATGAATTTAAGGGACATAAGTGTCTGTCTTCAAATGACCATTACTTCTTAATGGCTCATCTGTTTACTGAGATCTTTAACTCTTTAGACTTACAACAAAGTAAAGAAAAATATGGTCGAAGAATATGATACCCTATTATAGCCTGAATAAGCAGATTTTGCAAAAATTTAAAATTTTACCTAAAAAGTTGTTTTTTTTTTTAAATGCGCATTACTCTTCAACCACGCATCTTTTTACTACATAATTTAGCTCATTTAAATCTTCGGGACAAGCTAAATTATTTTCTTAACGGTCAAAGTGCAAATATTATAGTAATATTCTTCTCAAAAATGCATATTAAAAATAAGTGTCAAATTTGCCTACAAATTAAAGGATAATAAGAATAATAGTCATGGGACATGTTTTTTTTTATAATTTAGAACTTAATAATGTTATTTTGTACCACATATTATGTGATTTTATCCAAATTGATACCGAGCCTGAGTACTGAGATGTTCACTTTGCCCAATTTGCCCAATTTGTACCCATCGATAAACAACTTAAGTTTCGATAAACTGGCAAGAACACACATACTTAAAAATTCACCTTCTTGTACGTTTATCTAATACGGAAACGAGTCCGGTTCATTTCATCGACATAAATTTCATCGAAAACCAATGATAAGTGCGATAAACAATGTGTCACGTGAAATGTCCGTCGGTGAAGTGTACTGTCGGTGAAATGATTGTCGATGAAATAAAACACACTGACTCCTATACTTTTAATTACTCAACCTCTCATATTTTGCAATTACACAAATTCATTTTTAACTCACACAGCATTCCCGTTTATTATATACACAAAAATTACCAACTTGCACCATGATTGCTCATCTCTCGGCAATTTTATACATCCTGTATGTCTCTGAACAACCGCTTCCTAAAAAAATCGTGTAGCTACTTGTAAAACAAATAACAATGGCGATTTTTTAACCTTTAAATATACTCTTTGATTGCCTAACGCTAACAACGACCAATCAGATATTTATGATCACGATAACACATTTGTTCAAAAAATTTATCAGGAAACGACCTACTTCATAACGGGGGAATTCACGATCCTAGCAGACAAAACTTTGAAACTTGTTATTTCAACTTGTAAAAGCTTTTGATCAATAAAGAGGCAATACCAATCTGTAACCTATCATACTCTTACTAGGAAAAGTAAAGGACCATCTAACACAACAACATCCGGCTACCACACGACAATAGAAGTAACACCGCTGGATCAACCACCAGAAGGTCGTCTCAAAAATACATTTACTTCTGTGAGAAAGCAATCTTCACTGCACTGGTAAGCTACTCGTAATAGAAGGAAAACTTTACCGTGATGTTATTGAAATGCAATTCATCAGTGCCAAGTTCGAATCAACAGCACCAAGTAATATACCTTGGAGAACAAAAATAAAAACGAAAAACTGCAACCTATTGCAGAAAACAGAATAGCGGCTGCTCATCAGTCCATACAAATTCAACAGCCCATTGTTAATGTTAAAAAAAAAAAGGGTAGATGATGCCAAAAATTCAACTCAAAACACCAACAACAAAAATTAACGAAATTGCAAAACTATCAGGCATTGCAATGATATCCACAAATATGTTACGACTCCATCTTCCTTTTGAAATATAAAATTAGAGTAATCCCTAATCCATGGGTTTGCAAGAACGTTATTATTCACATTCCGTTTACTATGAAAATAAGTTCAACTCATTCTATCCAACCAAATAATTGTTGAATTGTATTCCTATACCTGATACATGCCCTTCTACTTTAACATTCTTTTCTATAGCTCCCATCATAGACTTCTGCTTAATATTAAAACGAACATTTAATTCTCTTGTTATAGTCAGACACGTGGAATAGTACAAAATTACAAATATGCAAGAAACAAATTCTGATAATCGATTGTAGTGTGCCACATGTTTGTCTTAATAAAGTAAGCATGTGCATTTTGTGCCTTCTTAAGATTATACAGCATATTAATATGACGATCGCCCCACGTTAATAGGCTCTTTATTTCCGTATATGCAAGCGTGCAAACTGTAATGTTTAAGTCCCTGCTCGAACTTCAATATGAAGAGTCTCACACTCATACTGCAAATAGCACTTTACCACCGAGCTTCTGACAATGACCGTCGCCGCCCTAATGTACGTGTTCAGTCATATGTAACCTGGACATGTTTGTCGAAAGCAATAGTAATGCCCATCTTTATTAACTCTCATTATGATAACTCTTTAGACAGTATAGTTTTGATACGAAAAAATGATGATGACACTTTACCAATGACACTACTCTCAAGAGTCACGGTTAAACCAGTTGCTGTTTTCAACGCATCTGTGTTGAGAAATTGTTGGCAAAGACAATATTATTGAAGTTAGTAGAACAAATACAGTATTATTGTCTATTAAGAATGTATCGATTTTACAAACTCCTTCTTACCGTTTTACTGAAAATTTAAATTGTTTGATACTGCGACCCTAATAACAGCGACATCTATTCGGGATCAAGTCGGGATGCTATCGAACTTTGACAAATCTTATTGAAAAAAGATTTCCAATGATCAGAAACCTACTCAGTCATTGATTATACTCTGCTGATATAATATTTATTGGTATTTCATGTTCAGTTATATACATTCTTATGATACCAAATAACCTCGCTATATCTGCCTCACCACAGTGATTAATACAAAATCGACTATGTGTGTATAAGATGCAATAAGTGTGGGGAATTACTTTTTAGCACATCCAATGTTACATGTCAGCGAACTGATAAATTAGTATAGTGATGATTATTGTCAAAAACTTGGTGACTAATTGCATCTGAGTTTGAGTTTTGAAAGTACTGGACAAACCACTACTAGTA